ATAGACCTACTTAAATCTTTTTACTTTATTCTTTCTGTCGCATAGAAGTATAAGTTTATTACTCTGTTTTATTGTAAATTTTACATGGGATATGTGTGCCTGGTATGATTGTTGCTTTAAAAATACCATAAGCCCACTACACTTATTATGAGAGTGGGATAGTGTAAATGTGTTGCATTGTTTGCATGATGAGCTCAGTATATTTTATAACTGAGACAAAAAGTCACTTCATTAGTATTTGAAAGTTAATTCCCCATATGGGATTAATTGTATGGAAACACCAATCCGCACATCTTCCCTGCCCTGTGTGTTTGTTGCAAAGGATCCATACTAAATATGATTTATGTTTGAAAATAACAGAGCAACATTTACATTTTCAGCGGTTCAACACATGCTTCATTTTGCACTGTAAACTAACCTTTTTATTGCGACAGGTTCCTTTTAAATGATCCAGTGTAATAACTACTGCTTGTGTCTTCTATGTCTCACATTATGTGTTATTTTAAATTGTGGCATATAGCCTGAATCAGACATCATGGACAAAGGTTTTTACCTGTGTTACTAAGGCTCTTGGAGACTGACCGGTCTAAAGGTTTGCCATGCCTTAGAACATGGTATAGTATACATTTTTTAAGTCTCTGAGAGTTCTGAAAGATTCAGGTGAAACCATGTCTGTTTAACCTGGTCCAGATGTTTGTTCAATTTCTATAAGATTTAAGTTGATGCAGCATCATCTCAGATTAGTTAATGGAAGTTTCAGACAAATATTTGAGTTATGAGCGCGCTATATAAATGGATCCTTTCTTTATATACAATACTATAGTAGATTAAAGTAATGAAGTTAATTAAGAAAATGTATACATAAGAATCCCTAAAATAAATCTAAACTAAAATTGGTATACCTTCCAATAATATGTTCTGAATCCAGCTGTTAACTGTTTATTCTGTGTAAATGGTGATTGTGATAATGTGTGGTAAGTGTGCAGTTTAACTTGAAAGTGGTTTAATTTATATGTTGCTGTATTGTTTTAAATTATATGTGAATCAGTTTGTCACAGTCTAGTGATACTGATAAGAATGACAGCCAAATAACCTAGCAAATAACTGTTTTATTAGTTGTTGAATACTAGCGTTTTGGCCAAGAATAGTTGGAGATTTGGAGGTGTTAGTTTAAGATTGCTTTTATATTGTGTCTATCCGTGTTTCCTAGGAGGGAGACAGAGTGTGTAGTTGTGTGCCCATAAATGTGATTTCTGTATTGGCATATCTGCTGGGTACCCATTATGTGTTTCTACAAAAATATTGTTTTGTGAGATGACGTGTAATATTACATTGGAAGCTGAGTATGAGTTATATGGTTTGAAATGAATTGGTGATTATGAGCTGTTGTGGTCGTGACCTAAATATGAATATTAATCTCTTAATACATAATAATTAAGCAATACGGAACAACATTAATATTTTTATAATTCATGGTATTATGGTCGAATATGTGGATAGAAAATACACAAAACGTTGTAATATTAAATGTATATTTAATATAACTATAACAAATAAACAGATGCTAGCGGAATGTCAATTTCAATAATTATACAATACTACACAAAACACTATTGGTTGCTAAATATTATACAAAAGGCTATTACAATTGCTAACTGTTACAATGGATTCATATTACTTACAAGGCCCCAGCCAAAGGGCTGGGGCTAAGTCAGAGCTGGTGCTACATGATCAGTCAGGTACAGGCAAACAGAGAGCTAGCTTCTCCTCACATCTGGGTTTTTATTCAGTGCAAGTAGGCTGGCCTGTGATGTCACTGCCAGAAGCACAGGTCTTCCTACACACTCCCCCTAATGGTGCCCCCAAAGCATTACACTATATATGCTTTACTGACATCTAGTGGTGCGTCTAAAGCATTAAGCTCATTATGCTTTTTTTATGACAAAAAGTCATTAATTAATAAATACCATTACATGAGCTTAGTACTTCAGTAAGATGTGCTAAAATTTGGAACAAGGTGAAAGCTGAAATGGTGGGATTATGGAAGAATAAGCAGTCTATATTTACTGCTTTGGCATATAAGCAAGATGCAAAGGAAGAGATTGGTAATCTGATTTTTGTAAATAAATTTTACAAGTGTTGGAAGGATGAGGCAGGTTTGATGTCTGGAGATGATATAGATCTCTTTAAAATACAGTCATGCCTTGGTAATATGTTGCCACAGTATTCTTTGCTTGTGAAACTATTGATTTCAGAATGAGCCAATTTGGATAGCTCAGATTTTCTTACCAAGGTTATAGAAAAGGAAAATGCAGGTTGTTTTGACTTAAGAAAAGATTTAGGAAAGTAAGGTTGCTTATTATGCTCAGGGATTGCAACACTGTCCACCTACACAGGCTGAGAGCGTGGATGGGATGGAGCACATAAAGCCTGTGGAAGGGGTGGTCAAAGAGGGGCGAGGGGATGGAGACAGGGAAATCAGGGTTATAGGGGCAGGGGTAACCAAGGAGGAATAGACAGGAACACTTGTTTCAACTGTGGCCAATATGGCCACTGGAGGAATGAGTGTCCACACCCCAGGAAACCCCAGGAAACCCCACACACCCCGACAACCCCACAATTCTCAAAATATGCCCGGTAGGCAAGAACAACACCAGACCCACTCCCAACACCACTGGCCAGCATATCGCTTAGTTCAGGACTTTAGAGCCCTGAATAGTTTAATTGTGCCCATTTCCCCCATTGTCCCTGATGTGACATCCCTCATTACAGCCATTCCACATGATGCCACTTGCTTCACTGTCATTGATTTAAGTAATGCATTTTTTTCTATATCTATTGATCAAGAGACACAGCTACTTATGGTTTTTACTTTTTGAAGGCTGTCAGTTTACCTGGACACGCTTACCCAAGGCTATGTGGATTCCCCAGCTGTTTATTCGTTGGTACTCGAACATACTCTAAAAAAACATGGACCACCGGTCATGGTTCCGTCCTTTTTGCAAAATGTTGATGATTTGTTGTTATGTAGCCCTAGCTATGAGGCAAGCACTGTGGATACTGTCAGCAACTGTAGGTCACAAGGTTGTTAAACACAAAATGCAATTGTGTAAATCAAAGGTTGAATACTTAGGTTTTGTTCTGGCTTTAGGCACCAGACCATTGAGTCCAAAATGTATTGAGGTCATTCAGAGGATTCCTACACCCACTACTCGGAAGGAGTTGCTCACCTTCCTCGGCATGATTAATTACTGCCACCAATGGATCCCTGAATGCTCCCATTATGACTCAATCCTAAGGGAGGCTGTACGTTCTGACAGCCCTGAAAATGTCTGCTGGTCACCAGACATGCTAGCTGCATATATTGCCCTTACAGTTGTTATTGTGCAAGCCCAGGCTTTAGGACTACCTGTGTATTGTAAACCATTTCATTTGTATGCTTGGGACAATTGTAAAACCATGGCCGCGGTCTGTGCACAAGAGCAAGGAGGCGGTATGCGTCCCATAGCATTCTTTTCCAAAGTAGTTCGAGCTCCGGTACAGGGTATGCCGGCGTGTCTCAGAGCATTGATAGCATGTGCAATGGCTGTTGAAACTGCTACTACTATCACACTAGGGCATCCTACAATACTTCATGCCAGTCACCAGGTCACTCAGCTGATAACAAATCTCACCACACAACACATGACAGCCCAGCGCTTCAGTGGTTATGAGATTCTTTTTTTTCTAAATACCCACAATCTGTCTTTTGGATTAAACAAGGTTTAGAGAAAGATCAAAATGATCTGTTCTCTAAAGAGGGGAGAATAGGCATACTTGAATCAAGCTGCTTTATTTTCATCAGTCAGGCACATAGCAAGCACCATTCAATTCCTCATGAACTCATTTTACATTAGGAATCTCAGGCAGCATGTACAGTCTTTTGTAAGATTGTGTGAACGCTGCTCTTTTTACACACTTACAGATTGATTTTATTCATGTATCCAAAATTGGTAAGAAACAGCAATACTTACTGGTCATAGTTGATCAGTTTAGTAGATGGCATGAGGCCTTTGTGACATCTAGGGAAGATGCTAGTGAAGATTATTAAGTGTTCTTGCATAGCAAGACCACTTAATGTTATCTCACATATATATTATTCTTATTATAGCCAAATTTGCCACCCTAACTCCTCCCACAGTTTTTACACTACATGGTATTATGGTCGAATATGTGGATAGAAAATACGTTTACACTACATAGACCAAAATTTACCAAATTTACCATTTGTCCCATAGGAATGAATGGCAAAGCTAGAGTGGGAGCTGCCAAAAGCTGAAAAATCAGGACATGATTTCTAAACTGCCACCACTCCCTTATTTTCAGGCCCACCTACACAAATCTTATATCAAAACGTTCAGCTATCCCTGCTGCCACTAACATGTCAACGGCTAAGCCGTAGTCCTGATAGTTTTCACAATATGACCATTTGTTTGCAACCAACGCCGTCCATTGACATTCATTGAAACTTCACTCTGCAAAGCTCAAATTTGAAGTGCAATTTCTAAACTGCGACTGTGCCTTCAATTTTAATACTTCAGAGACATACCATGCATCAAAATGTAGGTCTGGGTCTTGTGATTCTCACAATATAAAGCTCTTCACTGTAGGAGTTATAGTTTTTAAGATACGACCGTTTGAAGATGGCAACCACCAAAATACTCTGACCTGTCAAGGCTGCAGCAGCAAGTGATGTCATAAACAGGGCCTTTTGAACACCTGCTAATGTTTTTTATAAATGTATGGTTTAATGTAACTGTGCAACAACGTTGCAATTAAATGTGTTATATAAATGATAACAGCTACGTTGCCCACTCCAGTTGTAGACTACTGGTGGCGGCAAGAACACTTCACACAATTTCCCCAGAAATTGTAGCTTTTCTAGTTGTTACTGAAATTATTCCCAGGTATGGCTGCCCTCTGCAGATTGCCTCTGATAATGGCCCGGTTTTTGCAAGTGGGGTTGCCCAGGAACTTGCTAAATTCTTGCAAGTTACCTGGCAGTTTCATATACCCTATCATCCACAGAATACAGGGGTAGTTGAAAGGATGAATAGGACTATTAAGGAAAAGCACAGAATTTACCCAGGCACATGGGTAAATTGGACTAGATATCTACCAGCTATTTTAGCTGAGATAAGAATGAATCCCCACAAGGTGACTAAATTATCTCCATTTGAGATTTTGATGGGATGACCTTTTCCCACACCCTGGGCCAGGGAACCGCTTGTTATAATGTCTGGGGATTTACAGCTTATACAAGAACAATATGTACAGGAATTGTTGATAAAACCGAATGGTATGTATGACAATGTTTCTTCGCAGTTTTCCCTTACCTTCACAGGAACCTACTCATTTATACCAGTCCGGTGACAAGGTGTATATCCGTCAGCTGAACAGGACCAAGAAAGGAGGATACCCTTTTGGACCACCTGCTACTGTGATTGCTGTACCCAGAACCGCTGTCCTTACAGATTCCCATGACATCTGGATTCACGCATCCCGAGTGAAGCTGTGTCCAAAGAGGGGAACTAAGGAAGACAACACCACTCCTCGCTCGGAAACAGAAGAATTTCTCCTCAGCGAAGCATCATGGCTTTCACACCATATCGTAGATTGAGAGGATCATACATACCTGAGACCAAGATTATGTTGTGCGCTATGCTTTCTGGAGTTGTTATACTCCCTCTGATATTGTTCCTTGAATGCCATTATGAGTACAAGTCAATGGGAAGTTTGAAACCTGTTTGTTTCTGGAAAAAAGACTCTGACATGATGAACAATTCTTCAATACCCCCAGCCCAATTAGGCCTTAGCCCCTCATCTAGCATTCGTCACACACGCCCCCTCAAGAACCTTTCTCCACCACCTTTCTATCAGCTTGTAATATGCAATCATTCATTCAATTAACGCATTTGGATGAATTGGATAAATAATAACCCTTATAAGTACCAGTTACCCATATGAAATGTGTCCACAGCTAATGAAACCGATGCATTATGTTTGTTTAAAGGTTCACAGAAAATTGTTAGATCTTATAACGCAGAAATGTGCACAGTTAAGGTTGCATATCAATGTAAACAGACAGGCCTTATTACTTTTAATAATGATTATATAACTGGTATCATTAATCGGAGAAGGGGACAAATGTTAGTCATTATGAACGACACTACAATTGAGAACTATACACTACCTTATATTTTTACACCTTATTACTGTCCTTTATCCTCTACCATAGAACCAAAAGTCAACAACGACACACACACCTATTTCGTCCACATGTATTAATACAACTGCCTTCTTACAAGCTGTACATATGTCATTAAAAATCACTACTCCTGTTGTAACAATATGTAACACAGCAAACAAAAGGCAGAAAAGGGAATGGTATGACACACTGTTAGGAGGTGCTGGAACCACTATGGGTATACTAAATAGTTATAGATATGGAGACCCTCAAGAATAAGTTAAACACAGCCAGCATGCATATAGGGACTGGTTTCCATGCTACTGCAAACTGGGCTCCAATTGTTGTTAAATCACAGGTTACAGGATTGGATTTAGATAAATCAATGTATAATTATTTAGATAATTTAAGTGTTGCAACTATGAAATTCACTACAGGTCTAAGTAACTGGAGTACTTGTGCCATCAGGTATTTATGGATACAACAACAAGGATTGGCATTAGAAAACACACTAATGATTCCTAAACTAGAGAAGATTAGAGGAAAGCGTAACCTCACAGATAATGAATGGTTACTTCTAAAACTCCAATCCACTAAATGCAATGGATGGTTAACTGGTAATGTTTCACATTTGTCATGCTCATGCTATTTTACATTATATCATACATCATCAAAGGATGTTAAATTAGCTTGTCAATTTAACACATTACCAGTACCAGTTTATGATCTTTTTGCCAAGAATTTAACCTGGTGGGCACCCACATACACAGGGGACTATATTTTTCCCAAAGATAACACACACAGGTAGCCACACATATCCTAAAAGGAGAACTCCTTAAGGTGAGTTCACAAATTCAGAATGATTCAGCCCATCATTGGTACGATGCTTTACTGGTTGGTCCCCTACTGGATCCCAGATAATGAATTCATTCTTCTATCCTTTTGTTATTATAGTCCTGATTTTATTGTGTATGATTTTATATAACTGTCACCTTACTTGTACATTGAGGAAGAGAGTACAGAAATTAATCCATAATGCAGAACAGAAACAATTAGAAATTCTCCTCTCTGCCACTGGAGGGTATCAACCCATCTTTAAACTGGGCCTTAGGAATTACCACATGGGAATCGAGGTGAAGAAATTAATGAAAGTCCCGCAGGGAGTGACTAGCACCCCTGAAAATACCATGTGGAGGTTTCTCTGTCCTGGTAAGATTTTATCGATAAGATGAGCAATTTTTTTATTGCTCAAAGAGGGGAATGTAAGAATATTAAATAGTTAACTTGTTCATATGTATTTTATGCATTTATAAGGTTTATAAATATTATTGCTGACTGAAAGGATATGAAATAGTTAAACTCAATGTACGACATAATATGCTGACTGTGACAGACTAAGGTATTTCTTCTATAGGATGTAAGACAATGCAAAACTTTCCGGATGTCTTGCCCATTCCGATTTCAGGATATTCTTCCCCAGACGTATGCAAAAGCTTATCTTTCCATTGTCAGAATAACATGTAATATAAGGAAGTAATAAATCTTATAGTCTATACTGTAATGAATGGCATATACCATGGCTAATGTAAGCAAACTATGTATAAAAGCCAGCTCTGGAATACACTGATTTGAGAGTCTTGTCAACTATCCTGTTGTCCGTGTCTTATTGTTGACAATGATTCTCCATCAACATTGATTATGGTGACCGAGGGATCGAGAACAGAGGGGATTAGAGTCCATTACAGCATTAACCCTTTCAGCCCCTACTTGCGGTATAGCGAGTAGGGGCATTATTTACTAATACTAAGTAATCTCTACTTAGTATTAGTAAATTTGGCTGAAAGACCAATTTAGGTCTTTCAGCCTTTTAGTAGATAGCTCCGTAATAGCTCCCTAATACCGTGGGAATTAGGGAGTTATCTACTTATTAACTACTTAAGGACACATGACATGTGTGACATGTCATGATTCCCTTTTATTCCAGAAGTTTGGTCCTTAAGGGGTTAAGTAACTTACATTTTATATGAATGTATGTAACTTGATTGTTGTAAGTGTTGCAAATGCTTACCGCTGAATCCTGGCTATGTTTGTATACTTTTTATTTAAAATTGTATAACATGTAACATTCTTCATTCTTCCACTGGGTAAGTATATTAGTTCTTAGGAAATACTGTGTTTCAGAACTTCGACACTTCGGGAACTCGGCAGTTTCGAAACTTCGACCATTTGGCAATTCGGCAATTCATCTATTCGGACATTCGGAAGTACCCGAATGTCTGAATTTCCCGAAATACGTCCTAATTCACATTCGGACCGAAACTAATTGCACATGTCTAGTCTCAGGCTCCGTCTGCTTCCTCTTCTGCTGCTGTCTCAGCCTCTTCCTCCACCTCTGGAGTCACAGTGACACCTGCCACCCCGCAAACAGAGCATGTGGCAGCAATGCCACCACGTCCGCCACTGTACCTAAGCATCTCCACACTGTCCCAGGGAAGCGTTCAGCTGTCCATCTCCCAAACACTGGAGAGAAAGCAGAAGTACCCCCCTAGCCACTTGCGATCCCTGGCCCTGAATGCCAGCATTTCAAAATTTGTGGCCTTTGAAATGCTGTCATTCCATCTGGTGGAGACGGACAGTTTTAAAAACCTGATGGCGGTGGCTGTCCCACAGTACGTGGTTCCCAACCGCCACTACTTTTCCAGGCGAGCCATCCCTTCCCTGCACAACCAATTGGCGGACAAAATCAGGTGTGCACTGCGCAATGCCATCTGTGGCAAGGTCCACATAACCACTGATACGTGGACCGGTAAGCATGGGCAGGGACGCTATATCTCCCTAACTGCACACTGGGCAAACGTAGTGGCGGCTGGGCCTGAGGCGGATAGCAGTTTGGTGCATATACTACCACCACTGAGGATTGCAGGGCATTTCTCTTTGCCTCCTACTCCGCTTCCTCCTCCTCTACCACCACCACATCCAGGCAGCGTAACACCTTCACCACCAACTTCAGCACAGCCAGGGGGAAACGACAGCAGGCAGTTTTAAAACTCATATGTTTGGGGGGAAAACCCCACACCCCACACCCCACAGGAGCTGTGGACTGGCATAGAACAACAGACCGTTAAATGGTTGTTGCCACTGAGTCTCAAGCCCGGCCTGGTGGTGTGCAATAATGGGCGAAATCTCGTAGCAGCCCTGGGTCACATCCCTTGCCTGGCACATGTGCTGAATTTGGTGGTGCAGAAATTCCTGAAAAACTACCCAGATATATCAGAGCTGTGGCAGAAAGTGCCGGCCGCCTGTCCGCGCTTTCGGCCTTATCACCCTGCTGCTGCTCGCCTGTCTGCGCTGCAGCGTAACTTCTGCCTTTCTGCTCACCGCCTTATATGCGACGTGCCCACAAGGTGGAACTCCACCTTGCACATGCTGGAGAGACTGTGCGAGCAGCAGCAGGCAATTGTGGAGTTTCAGCTGCAGCACGCACGGGTCAAATGCTCTGCGGAACAGCACCACTTCACCACCAATGAGTGGGCCTCCATGCGAGACCTGTGTGGCATTTTGCACTGTTTCGAGTACTCCACCAACATGGCCAGTGCCGATGACGCCATTCTCAGCCTTACTATCCCGCTTCTCCTTGAAAAAAATGCTTCGGCCGATGATGGAAGAGGATGTGGCACAGGAGGAGGAGGAAGAGGTGTCATTTCCACGATTATCAGGCCAGTCATTCACTTGGTGAAGTGGCTTGGAGGGTGGGTTCCTGCACCAGCATAGGCCAGGTACACAATTGTCCAGCCAGGGCACAGTTCTGGAGGAGGATGAGGAGGATGAGGAGGATGAGGAGGAGGACCCGTGTTCACAGCAGGGTGGCATTTAACGCAGCTCGTGGGCATCACTGGAGTGTGGCTGGGGGGATACGGAGGACACAGACGATACACCTCCCACAGAGGACAGCTTGTCCTTGCTTCTGGGCAGACTGGCACACATGAGCGACTACATGCGGCAGTGCCTGCGCAACAACTGCAGAGTTGCCCACATTCTAACTTGTGCTGCTTACTGGATGGCCACCCTGCTGGATCCCCATTACAAGGACAACAAACCATCCTTAATTTCCTCACTGGAGCGTGATCGGAAGATGCGCGACTACAAGCGCATGCTGGTAGACGCGCTGCTGAGGTCATTCCCAACTGACACCAGGGGCTCAGTGGAAGCACAATGCGAAGGCAGAGGAGGAGTAAGAGGTCGCCAACGCAGCTGGGGCACCGCCAGCACCTCAGAAGGCATGGCCAAAATGTGGAAAAGCTTTGTCAGCACACCACAACAATCAGCACCACCATCTGATATGGAATGTCTTAGCCAGAGGCAGCATTTCAGCAACATGCTGGAACAGTACGTGTGCACACGCCTACACGTACTGGCTGATGGGTCTGCCCCATTCAACTTCTGTGTCTCCAAATTGGGCACATGGCCTCCGCTTACCCTTTATGCCTTGGAGGTGCTGGCCTGCCCTGCAGCCAATGTATTGTCTGAACGTGTGTTTAGCACGGCAGGGGGCGTTATCACAGACATGCACAGCCGCCTGTCCACAGCCAACGTGGACAAGCTCATGTTTATTAAAAGGAACCAGGCATGGATCCCACCAGACTTGTCTGTACCTTGTGCAGAATAGACATTTATACCGGCCTCACCCAGCCATTGCTATACTCAAGTGCACTTATTCTTTGTTTTCTTTTTTTATATGTCCCAATATTTTGGGGGGTACCCCAATTTAAAAAAACAAATAAAATATATATATATAATATATATATATATATATAAACAGTGTTGGCTACCTCCTCCACCGTCGCTTCCACCTACACCGCCATGGTCACCGCCTCCTCAACCTATGGGTCACTTAGTATAAACTATGTACACAATGGCAGAGGCTTGTGAAGGCCTTTTCTACATGCATCAGGAGTTGAGCTCAGTTTGAACAATGAAAGAGAATACCCTGCACTCCAACCCTCTCTCAAATGGATAATTCTGGTGATCCTCTTGACAGCCATGCTTTAGATTTTGATTTATGTTCTTCCAAAGCTAAAATCAAAGATTCCATCTAGTGCTATTTTATGGCTCAGCTGTATTTTTTATTTTTATGTATTTTATGTTATTTTAAGTGATTTCCCTGTCCCCAGTAGGGCACTTGTCCTACTCTTATCCCCATTTTGCTTCCTTTTGCAGGACTTTGTTAGAGGCATTTTCCAGGACTTTGTTAGAGTCATTTTTGTGCCCAAAAGTTCGGGTCCCCATTGCTGTGAATGGGGTTCGGGTTCGGGGTCAAGTTCGAGCCCGAACTCGAACTTTTTGGCGAAGTTTGGCTGAACTCGGCCAACCCGAACATCCAGGTGTCCGCTCAACTCTAATCATCGCACTTATGACAAATCACAGCTTGAACTATCTTGCTTTGCATGTAATGCGTCTATCTCATATATTAGTTTCCCCTTTTACGTTGCATTACTGAAATAAATGAACTTTTGCACGATATTCTAATTTTTCGAGTATCACCTGTATATATATATATTTATAGGCATCTTTTACATCACAATGTGATAAAATGAGATTACACTGTGCATTCGTTATCGGACAAATATGGTTTCGTCCGAATTTTCAGACTTTTTCGTATTCGTTTACTATAACATTAATGAAAGTCCTACATACAAATTATATATGAAATGAAAGGGCAAATGCCGAATGCATTACCTCTTCATTTCAGTTCTTTCGTTTAAAGTGGCACTGTCATATGAATGAATAGAAATTTCAAACGATCAAACAAACACCGAATGTCGGTGTTCGTTTGTTCATTTAGTTTATAACAAGGAGGGAGCTACCAGCGCACAGCTCCCTTCTTGTAATATGTAAAAATAGAAGTGGCAGGGAGCAGTGTTCCCCACCCCTTCCTAAGCCCCCCATTACCTTACTCACTCCATGGGGGTCAAAATGACCTCCATATTAGCATAGGGGAGATTAAACTCTCGAATGCCCCTTTTTTGCTATACCGTGAGTAGGGGCATGTCTACTACAAAGTAAGCTCCTCATCCCCCAAATCAAGTAACGGGGAATCTAGTACAGGGTCCCCCATGGTGTACCATCTAGAAAAATAATTAACAGGGGAGGACATAGTGTCCTCCCTCAGCTCCCACCCGTGCCCTACAAGTATGGGCTACTCAAAGGAACGGGTTCCTAAGTATTATGGATCTCAGCCGAGGGTACTGGCAGATCCCCATGACCCCTGAAGCGCAAGAGAGATTGGCCTTTATCACTCCCTTTGGGTTATATGAGTTCCAGGTGATGCCCTTTGGG